TTTTTTTTTTTTTGGTCTAAAATGCAGCTATGCAGAGGTGAGGGCAGAACAGCGCAGAGAGCTCGGCATCGAGGAGGCAAATCCAGAAGTCACTGCAGATAAGGTGAGAAATAAATAAAACATGTAGCACGGTCCTTATAATTACAAACATGTCAAGCACAGGAGTAAAATTCAGTCTAAAAACAACGTTGTGGTAGAAGTTGTTGCGTAATACTACCTGAAACAGATGAAAGCAAAAATACCAGAAATATATTACATGTTGAAGTACAATATTCAGCTTCATTAGGAGTTGTTACAATGTTAGGTTATGAAATTTATGCTTCAGATTTTCTGCTGGTACCTCAATTACCTTTTAGGCCTGTAATTTCCACCTGTATGCACTCCATTAGATACAATGGATAGGCTTTCTTGTTTTTAAAATCTTTGGTATTTTCTTATTTTTCCAGAGTCAAGACTCTGGCTCAGAGTCACAGCTCAATACGTCCAGCCTGAAGGAGGCACTGGAGCGATTTGACCACAGTAGAACACCTTCGACTTCCTCGCGGAGTTCCCGCAAGTCCTCATCGCATGTGTCTGACAACACCTGCACTTGTAAGGACACCCACAGTTGCACAAGTAATGTGACATTATACACTGACATACTGTTAAGGGGAGGTGGTGACATATCCTCTCTGTATTAAAATTCAGTGGCTAACTCCTGTAGTAAAGTGATATCATCTAAAAATAACCATTGACCACCAATTACTTTCTCTGCAGCGACAGCTCCCAAGTTACACATGGACACGGCCACACCCCCTCGGCAATCATTGGCATCCACCATGGAGATGACATCACAGCGCCGGTCATCTATCAGCAGCCAGGTGAGACAAGACACACCTGGCTAATGCATAGAAAATCCTTACAAAAACTACTTCTGGCCATAACTAACACAGAAATCGGTCAAGAAAACACTGTTTTGTTTTATGGATTGGCATATCTGGTTCCTGGTGGGACTTTTGTGCTTGACTATTTCCTGAAGCTTTCTTACATAATCTGACACAGACAAACGCATCCGACTTCAAGAACAGTGTTAATTCTGCTGACTAATAAACAATAAGTAAAGCGTTATACAAATGCAGGCCATTTACCATTTTAATAATTTTCATTATAGTTTTTGTCAACAACCTGTTTCTCCCTGACAAAAACCAAATCACTAAAATAAAAACAAATGCATGAGGATAAAAACGGCGATGAAATCTACGGACACTTGTACCAACGAATAAAAACGAGATGAAAATGTTCTGAGAGGCGGGGCAAGTTTTGAAAGTGATCCTGTCAGAAGTATTCTCTGTGTACATCAAGGTTGGATGCACAGAATTTGATCTGCCCTCAACAAACAGGGTGTGGAGGAAGCGCCCATGCCTCTCTGTTTCTCATGAAAACACGACAAAATTTAGAGCAGACATATGGACACATTTCGCTTTTTAAGTCTGGGAAAATAAGATGCTTTGTAAACCTTGTGGAGTAAAAACACAAACTTTTACACTTTATATTTTAGGCAAATAAATCAACTTCATATTTAGGTTTTGATAATCTTGTGATATGTAGTTGACCCTAAACTTAGATCCCTAAATTATAACTAAAAGACAGTGCTGCAGTGTTAGCTGGGATGGTGAGAGGTTCATTGTTGAAGTGAAGATGCAAAACAATGTTTCTATCAAAAATACATAATCACCACAAAATCTGTGTTTTTCAACTTACTAAAGTTGGTGTGCTTTGAATGGGCGTTAAGCGGCGTCAAAACCCAGAGACGTGCGTCGCACTGTTGCCTCACAGCAAGAAAGTTCCTGGTTTAAACCTCAGCTAGGGACTTTCTGTGTGGAGTGTGCATATTTTCTCTGTTCCTGTGTGGGTTTCCTCCGGGTACTCTGGCTTCCTCTCACAGTCCAAAAACATGAACACTAGGTTAACTGTTATTCTAAATTTTCCTGTGTAGATGTATGTATCTGTAAAATTAGAAAAAACACTATATAAATGCAAGTGTATTTCAGTTTTAAGTCTTGAACATGTGCATATAAAGTGGTGTAATGCAATGGAAAATTCATGCCTGTAATAATAGTCTTTATTTTCATTATATTTGCAGTCTATGAGCTCTCAGACTACAGGGCAGAGTGTAGCTCCTGGTATGATCAATCAGCAACAACAACAGCAGCAGCAGCAGCAGCAGCAGCAACAACAACAACAGCAGCTCCAGACAAATGTGCAGGTGAGACATAATAATGTGGAGAAGTGGTTTGTTGACAACAGGTTAATTGGTGACAAACGTTTTTTCAAATGCTTGTATAATGTGGACTCTGAGGTCTTGGACCTTGTGGCATTTAATTAACTGTGCAACCCAACTATGGAGTTCGATTAGCCATTGTATCCTAATTGCATACACATTGCACAGCTTGTTCTTTTTTTCTCCGTCTGCAGCCGGTGATGGAGTTCTCAGCGCAGGTGAATGCCATGCAGCACTTAAAGGAGCAGCTGGAGCAGAGGACCAGAATGATCCAGGCTAACATTCAGCGGCAGCAGGAGGAGCTCAGACACATCCAGGAGCAGCTGCAGAGAGTCCAGGGGCAGGGTATACAGGTAGGCTGTAGATGCATATGCAAGATTACTTTTAGGTCAGCACTGCTTTATGACATAAAAGCCTTTTCTTACAGTAGGTGTGTTTAAGTCCACTTTACTCAGTGTCTATTTATATCTCTAGTGTAACTTACCTTGTGTCATCCTCTATTACTTTGCTTTATTTCTCTCTATTCATAACTCTTTCTCTGTCTTCATGTCGAAGTTAACATCTGTATATTGAGAAAATGGTGTGTATGACTGCACCTAGTGTTTACAGTAAAATAAAATTAATTATAACAATAAACCAACAGGGTGGATTCTGTTCACAGGATACAGATAGAGCCAAGAAGTAGTATTGATGTACTATTTTCCAAATGTGGAAAAAAAAAATCACTTAATCGAACAAGAAATGTGACCTCTGTTCAGACGAAGTAGGTGAATTGTGCTGTACCTGGTTTTGCTTGACCTAGATCAGGACTGGAATCCTGCATGCATTATATATTTCTTCTATTCATAGAAAACAGTAAACTGCCATCTCCTGATTGTGTAAAGATAATTTATTTCTGTTTATTATTCTGTTGTCATGCACAGATCTGGTAAAAGTAACACACACACACACACACACACACACACTGTAAATCTCCTTACTAGCTGAATGTGGCCTGACGTTTCATGTGTCCATTCTAACAGATGTTGCTGCAGCAGCAGGGTGGACCCATGAATGTACAGCTTCCTCAAGTAGGATCAGTCCAGCAGACAACTACGTTGACCAATCAGGTCCAGCAAACAACAATTAACCCCGTCCATTCGGGAACTCAGCAGCTCACCATCCAGCAGCAGGCTCCTCCCACTCAACAGAGCTTACAACAGCAGACCAACACCCTTACGCAGGTGCGATACCTGCAGACACACGCAAGCAGACAGGCTATGGAAATACTATGAAAATGGTTTTGAAAGTTCAGATCAGATGAAAATGTTTGTCTCTTTCCTTTGCATGTCCATGATTTTGTCATTTCCTTTTAATCTCAGAAGTTGCCTGTGTGTGTATGTAGTCTTCTTTCAGTGTTCTCTGTGAACAATAATCTTACCTAAATTTGGGACAGTATTAGTCACTTTTATGCAGATATTACAGTGCTATGCTGTGAGGATAAAATGTTAAAATCTCATGCTGTTTGCATTTTTAATAATGTGACACTTTACGGGTCACTCAGTGATAGTGGAGTCTTTCATTAAACCCCGCCTTTCCTCTGAATAGACACAGTTTAAATTTCCATGTTGTGAATTATTGATTATCTCATGCAACTTTGAAGTCAGCTCAAAATAGTGAGTGTGACAGCAGCAAGACATTTCATTGATTTCATTTTGTGTCTCAAAGTTAGAAGACAGAAAACCTACGAAAAACCACTTTGACTTACATGCTGATTTATTTTGTGTTATGTGTAAATTTCACACATGACAGCGTAAAAGTGGGGAAAGTGAAACTGGAGAACAAATTCACAGAAAATCTTCAAATAATCTTGTTAATGCTTCTTTAACGTAAAAGACATAATGTCATGGCCTTTGCTGTTGCTCCTCTGTAGCCCCAGCGTCAGACTCAGCAAGCTTCTCAGCCTCAGCCCCAACCCCAGCCCCAGGGCTCTGTATCTGCTCCTTTATACAACACAATGATGATTTCCCAGCCAGGACAGCCAAATGTGCTGCAGATCAGCACCAGCCTGCCGCAGAATAACACCCAGCAAGGCACAGCTGTGGCCGCTTTCACCCAGGACCGACAGATCCGGTTAGTGCAGAACAATCGAACCTGATTCCCATTATAATGACAATTTGACAGTTTGTACATTTGAAAAGCTGATATTTACTATGATGGATAAATATATCTATTTCTTTCTCCAGCTTCCCAGCAGGGCAGCAGCTTGTGACCAAGCTCGTGACAGCTCCAATGCATGCATGTGGTGCAGTCATGGTTCCCACTTCTATGTTTATGGGGCAGGTGGTTACCGCATACAACCCCTTTGGGAGCCAGCAGGTAAACACAGTTTGAATTAAGTCTGTTTCTTTTGTTTTGCCTCTCTCTGTCTAAGATCAAAACTATTTGGAGTGAAGCCCATTTAAATGATTATATATGAGCCACTCAGGGCTGACAAACTGCTCCTGGCATAGTAAAATGTGTGGTGTTGGTGTAATGATTCTGGCACAGTAGCTTTGAAAATGCTCATTAGCAATAGGTGTTTGTAACTGAAATTAAAAGGGGAGGGGAAAAAAAGACTAGTTAACACAACAGTGTGGTTCTGGAAGTAGTTAACGGAGAAATTCAGGATGATAGAAAAAGTATTTTGGGTTTAAAAAAAATAGCATAACCCTTTTAATAATTAATTGAAACCCAAAAGCACACTTGAAAAACCAAAGACTTGCAGGTTGTTGGGTAATTACTTTAAATAGTGAAAAAATGGCACACATCTTAATTGATAACGATAAAACTAAGAGTAGCTGCTCATTCACTCTGAAAGCAGTGAGTGAGTGAAATTTTTAATTCATTTTTATTCCTTTACCTCAACATATTCCCTTTGTTAACCCTCTGTACCACTTCAGCAAGGGGGGCAGACCCAAACGCTGACTTTGCAGCCGGCCCAAGCACCTCAAGGACAACCAGACGGCCAAAACCAGACAGCTGTAGTGGCACAAAGCAACCAGCAGGGGCAGCAGCAACAACAGCAATTCCTACAGGTATCACTAGAGGGCAGAAGATGTCATTGATTTAAAATATTGTAGAGGCATGGTATGATAGGATAGCATTCATGTTTAATTTTACTGTACAGATATTTCATTTTTATGATATTGCGAATAATTATGAAATTATATGAAGTGTGTCTTAAGTGTACGGAGTGTCATTTACACTTGTAAATGTTTGAGACTTTCAGTGACACTAGAGAATGAGCAGAGGGAGAAGAATTTCCTTCACTGTCTAATATCATTGCATTGTCTTGCTGCCAGGGCCCTCGTCTTCTCCACAACAACCAGTCTACGCAGCTGATCCTGCAGGCAGCTTTCCCACTCCAACAGCAGGGAACCTTCACCCAGGCAACACATCCACAGCAGCAACAACAACTGCAGCAACAACAACAACAACCGCAGCAACAGCAGCAGCAGCAACAACAATCTCACCACCAGAGGCACCAGCAGCAGCTTAAACCACAGCCCCAGAAACAGCAGAAAGCCCCGTCATCGCACAGGACTGACGCTGTCAGCAGCCAACAGCAGTGAAGCGAGGAGGGGAGTGTGTACAGCGAGAACATGTGGGGAATCTAAACTCTTAAGGGATTGCTGCATACGTTTGCTTTTTTTGTTTTTTCCCCCCGAAATCGTTCCTCCATCTGAAAGAAACAAATCATAGGAAAGAGGAAAATGAGTCCACAAGGAACTCGCCAAAAGACTGTCACCATGGCAACAGGATGGATTCAAATCCCCATTTCCTCTCATGAGAAGCGGTGTTGTGAGGGAAGCTTCAGTTTCTGTGAAAACCTGAATTAATTGCTTTATGGTCACTTTTTTTGTTTTTTGTTTTTTGTTTTTTTTCTGAGAAGCGTGTCAAAGTGAACTGGCCTTGTACAGATTTACTGTATGATACAAACAAAAACTTGTAAATATCCACCATAGCCTAACAGAAAACAGAAATGTAGTATTTTATATGATTGCATGGAAAAAAATAACTGTGTAAGCTTTTATTAGTTGCTTTAAAAAAACAAACAAAAAAAAAACCAACATAACTTTTTACTTTGGTCAAGTGTGGTCAAAGATGGAGCACTGACTCCTCTTAGACCTCCCCGCCCTACCACCACCACCACCATCACCCCTCCCAGGAAAAAAAAATTAAGTCCAGAACAAGGTTTTAAAGTTCTGAGTGTTTTAAAAAATGGTTGGGCTTGGGTGTTTTTTGTGGAAGTTGTTTTTTGAACACTGTGTCTCTGAGACAAAAAAGGCTCTCTTTCTAATTACAGATCATGTTTGGCAAGAAACTAGATTACAGTTTAACTGTATTATTTACAGGATAATTACTGTACATATGACGGGTTTAGTGATTCCAAGTGCCAATAACATAGTCAAAAAATTTTTTTTACTTTAAATTTCAAGCTGACTATTCAAAGGCATATATTTTCCAACAAGATATTACCCCTGTTAAAATTAATGCGTGTGTATATAGTAGGGATTATTTTTTAAAAGTAAAAGAGCCCTATATGTAACAAAACAGTATATCCTCAAGCTCCTCAACTTTAGCACTTAACGTGGTTGTGTACGATAAATCACTGTCGACCCTGTTGTTTGTAATCTGTGGTGTGATTCTTTGAGCTAATGAGTGTTTCTGAGAAAACAATCTTTGTGTGAATGAGTGAACAAGAGTGTCTGTGGCTGGTGTGTGTGTGTGTGTGTGTGTGTGTTGCCCCTTGTGTCTTACAATAATTGACTTAGTAAAGGGTTTGAAGTTGTTGGATGGTACTTGTATTCTCAGGAATGTGGAAAGTTTTTGCTTCTGCCTCAGTCTGGAACCAGACCAGAAGGATTAGACAGTGATGCTGCAAAGACCATAGGAAGAAGATTCATAAAGGAAGTGGTGACTGAATCAAATTTGCCCCAGATTTCTTTAGAGCCTTCGTGTTTATTTATCAAAGCATATAAAATATGCTGGTGGGTTTTTTTGTTTTTGTTTTTGTGGGGGTAGATTTTGAAATGCAGTAGAGCAGAATTGCAGAGAAATCCTTCTGTTGTCACTCTTATTGGAATAGGCTAACCTCACTTTACCCAAGCATCTGAATTTCAGCTGACTATCTTAAGGTCTCCTGTATCATCAGTGTTTCGTCCTTCTTTATCTTCCTAGGCCTCAGAAAACCTCATGCAGTCCAGTTCACTTGACTCTCGGTTCTCAAATAGCAGTCAAAAACCAGGACAGGGTCCCGCTCCACTTTAAATGGTTTGGGCTCAGCCTGTGTACTTCAGTGATTAAGCCATATCATACAGAAAAGCCTTGGTTTGGAGGAAGTGAAATGTTGGCAAAGGAGCATTTAGAATGTGTTTTGTCTCAGAGTGTAGTAAAAGTGTGCATGTGGGTTTTTGTGAATATAACATCTCCTGTCCTTGATCCTACTTCTTATATCACTTGGGGATCAGTATTTCTTTCCCCTGGCGATAGCCAATCAGTTCTTGCGTTGCAGTATAAAGGAATTGTAATTTTCAAGGAACGTCTGCTCCCGTTGGGCGCAGTATTGTGCGAGCCCGTGTGTGGGACAGCTCAACTTGAATATGTTTGTGTGATTGAGTCTGTGTGCATGTTAGCTGTCGCTTTAACCCAGTATATTTTCGTGCACAGAAGTGTGACTGGAAAGTGGTTATTAGGCATTGCAGAGCACTGGTCACCTGCCAGGCTAAAGAAGATGGGTACTGTTCTGCTCACAGTGACTATAGTACTATCTGACAAGTCTCAAATGTTAACCCTTGGAGATAAGCTTAACTTAGACTAAATTGCTGTTAGAGGGGATAAAACCTCATTTCTTGTTTTCCCCCCCATACAAATAAGGAATAGTGGCGAGATTACACAGTGAGGGCTTTAATATTTGAATCAGGTCTTCCACTCGTCTCACATTAATTGTTTGTCCTGTATAGATTAGTGTGTTTGTGCATGTGTGCGTGCGTGTGTTTTAAGGCAACTCTAAAGGGTAATGAAATGTTTATAGTTTGTGTCACTGATACCCAGCCCAAAGAATGTAATGGTGTTTTAAAGAGACTAATGGATGTTGTAACTGTGCGCCTGTTTGACAGGCTTTATGATGAAGGAAATGGAGGGGTGTGAACGAAACTCACGATTCACTGCAAGAATCCAGAACTTACAATCTGAAATTCAGTCTATTGTAAAAGAACCTCTGAATGTTTCACCATTACAGACTTTATTGGTTTGCAGCAATATGTTTCTGACAACATCTTGGTTGGGAAAAGGGTTCAAAATCTCTTCAAAGTTGAGGTCTAGGATATTTGATACGGGACGCCATTGACAAGACGGCGAGCTCCCCCTTCCACACAGATACACAGGTCACCTTTCCACTACACCGTTTGGTTCTAAACAGTTCTAGATCTAGTATAATACTGTACACATACACAAAGTTAAAAACACCAGTATTCAGTGTAAAAACGGTGCTATGCTAACCTGTACTGTATGTATTTCTATCCCTTCTTCTGCTCTTGAACTGTGCTCCTTTATCTACCCCAAAGTCAGATGTAATCAATATTTTGAAGCAAAATGTTTGCTAACATTATTATTATAATCCCCTCTTCTCCCATCTTGGTCAATTTGAAAATAAAAACAGTTGCAAATATTAAATGTGACATGTGTGTTGTACTCAGTTTTTAAGCCAGGGATGGCATTCCTTTTGACCCACAGTACACTTATTGCCGGCCGTTTACCTTCACATGCATATGAACTTCTTAATCCATAAGGTTTAAATATGATGTCGGCCCACCCTTTGCAGCTCTAATAGCTTCATGTCTTCTGGGAAGGCTTTCCACAAGGTTTAGGAGTTCGTCTATGGGAATTTTTGGCCTTTTTTTCAGAAGTGCATTTGTGAGGTCAGAAAATGAATGTTGGACGAGAAGACCTGACTCACAGTCTGTTCTAATTCATCGCAAAGGTGATATAGAGTTGAGGTCAGGACTCTGTGCAGGCCAGTCAAGTTCTTCCACACCAAACTCACACATCCATGTTTATATAGACCTTGCTTTGTGCACAGCTGTGCAGTCATGTTGGAATAGGAAGGGGTCACTCCCAAGCTGTTCCCACAAAGTTGGGACCAAGATGTCCAAAATTTCTTGGTATTCTCAAGCATTAAGAGTTCATTTCACTGAAACCAAGGGGTTGAGCCCAACTCCTAACCCCCCCCCCCCCTTCTCCTCCAAAACCCCCCATTCCTACATCATAACCCCCCCTCCACCAAACCTAACAATTGGCAAATCGCACTGAGACAAGTACCATTCTCCTGGCAACTTCCAAGCCCAGACTTGGTCATCAGATTACTAGATGGAGAAGCGTGAATCCCCCAGAGAACACGTCTCCTCTTGTTTAGAGTTCAGTGGCGCCGTGCTATACTGTGATTTTATGCGATCTACCACTTCATAGCTGAGTTGGTCTCGTTCCCGATCGCTTCCACTTTCCTATAACACTACTAACAGCTGGAATATTTAGTAGTGAGGAAATTTCAACAATTGCTGGAATTCACTGAGCTCCTGAGGTGACCCATTCATTCACAAATGTTTGTAGAAGCTGTCTGTATGCCTAGGTGCTTCATTTTTTACACTTGTGGCCATGCAAGTGACTGAAACACCTGAAGTCAGTATGGGTGAGTGAATACTTTTGACAACATAGTGTATCTGGCTGGCAATCCTAGTGCCCATCTGAGGTTCACATTAGAAGTTTGACTGAAAAGTGCTATTACTCCTACAGTAATTACTGCCATTAAAATGCATACAGGCATGCATGTCTTCCATGGAACAGGGGTGCCAACCTTTCATCAAGAAGCATCATGCGACACATGATGGTTGGACCATGTTGGCAACCTGAGGCAACATTTCCCCCCCAAGAGTTTCTTTTACGACTCCATGTTGTTTCACAGAAAACAATAAAAGACTTATTGCAGTTAGTTTGACCATCACAGGTACATTCTTTATTATTACAAGTCAACCAACTGTATCAAAACTGCAAGAACCCGAAAGCCAGAGTGCAGAAACATTTTTCTGCTCTCTCACCAATAACTGTCACAAACAAATGCATTCACTTAAAAAAAAAAAAGTCTAAAGGCACATCTCTAAGATATTTACATTGCATACAGGTTTGACATACAGTAAAAAGCACACAATCAGTCCTAAATCCTTGGCCACACTGGCTTTGCTAAAGAGACTAAAGTTATCCATAAAAACATACAGCAATTGTTGTTTATAAGTCACAGTTTTCAAAGCTACAACGCACAGGTGGAAATTCGTGTTTATGTAACTTTTATGGCTTTATCTTTTTCATTAGGAATTATCGCTTGCATGCCACTCTGCTATGGCTTCTCTTCTTCTTTTTGTTTCCTCTTCAAAGACACTTTGTACTACCTTAGAGAAACATGTTCATTTAAAGGCCTGCTGAAAACAAGTTTTAAGGTTTTAGGATTTGACATTTTGGGAAAATATTTTTGCCGAGTGACATAAGAACAATTAACCTTTCCAACATCCAGTCTGCCCTCATAGGCAGAACTTTTTAAACAAGATGTCTGGATTGAAAAGCTATGCCTCCTAAACACAGCAGCGACACAGGGCAGTGTGCTCCTCACGCTTCTCCTTTACTCCCTTTTCATGACATGTTCTCCATTTCAACCCTCCAACGCCACCACGAGCGATTTCATGATGTCAGTGATGCACAATCAACCATGGAAGAACCCTGAGACCTATTCTTGGTTTTGTGAAAGAAGGAAAGGAAATGGGTCAGACGGGCTCGGCACATGTGTAGCCAGCGGATGGGGCAGCATGTGATTGATGGAATACCTTAAACCATGGCAGTGTCCTGGTTTCTAAATCATATGATTCATACATTACTCTGTAATGCAGAGGTATTTCCGGATAGGCAGAGGGTATGTAGGAACTTCAGGAAGGATACAAATGATGCTCACGTACAAGCAGCAAAAACTCCTGGAGGGATCTTTGTCAGAGTTCTTCAGGCACCGAGCCACTCTGGGTTGGCAGTGTTGCTCTGAATGACCTCATCTCTCCCCAGTGAGTTCAACAGCAGAATCAACCTCCTCTAGAAATACAAGAATCTTTCCCTCGCCGAAGTCCAGCAGGAATTTGTCAAAAATCTTCTTCAATCCCAACATCCCTCCACAAGATTAAGCTCTTCAAGCGCCATCACAGTGCAGCTACCATGTCTCATAAGAAGGATCTGCCCCAAGTCACCACTGAATACCAGCTAGAAGCCACCGAATAGCTTCTGTACAATCTGGTGCCTCTAATGTGCAAAAATCCATTACTGAGACTTCATTAACTACCATGGCAACTTCTAATGAGCGCTGCAGTGCCATCATCTTTGCTCACATAGCATTGGAGTCACAGAGAATGAGAAGGCACTTCTAATGGTAGCCTTTAATATAAGCTCTATCATTTTAGTCTAATCTTAATGGCAGAGATGGCATCAGCCAACCAAACACATAGTAGGATCTTGTTTTAAGTTCCTTCCTCCAGGAATTCTGATCAAGTGGATGCTTTCTTTAGGCATATATTGCAATTATATATATATATCAGTCCTGACTAGAATTAGCAAATGTGTGGACTAGTTTCTCAGCATCCCTCTAAGGCAGGGTCTCCTAACTTTGACAATCTTGTGCAGATTAGAGAAGGCACTCCAAAACATTTCTTCAATGTCTGTGTTAAAATATCTATCTTAGATCTTCACATTAATAATGAAGGCCAAAGTGATGCCATCCAAAGCAAGTATCTGGTTAGATGCCTTGTTTCTTGGGCCAAATTCTTATAGGCCTTAACGTCTTTAAGACAAACTTGTAGTTCAACTGATCGGTTTTAACAGCTTTCACTGGTAAATACTGATAGACAGCCATAAAGAACACATGGAGACGAGTTAAAGACTGCACAGACTGATAATTTCTATGAACCACACCATTCAACACCTACAACAGCAGCATGGTGACAGTTACGTAAGCACAACTCAAAGCTGTACACTCTAAAAAGGCAAAACTACCACAGGCATGCAGCTCAGGGACTATTCTACTATCTTACACATCTTTTACTCAATGTTTAGCAACTGCACAAGTGTCCAAGCTTTAGAAATGCTGGTGTGCAGATTTTGTTACCATTGGACCAAGCCAGACAAGCTGATTACCTGTGTATTGTGTCTCCTAAACTAGAAACTACAGTTTTTAAGCTTTACTTCCTCATTTGCATGCAGCGACACGAGGATGGTATAATTCTTCTCATCTATCTCTCAACAAGAAAGTCCCAAAATGTCAAAAATATTTCTATGAAATGGCAGACAAGTCTGATACAAAGAGGTCCTCTAGTCACAGCATCAACTCTGTTTATTTATTTATCAGTTCACTATCATCTCCCCTGTGCAGGTATGTACATGTACTGGCAGCCTTTTGTTTTCCCCAAAGCATCTTAAGATGTAATCTAAGGCTGAATGTGAGCCAAGACTCTTCCCACTGCTGATGGGTGATGTATCTGATGGCCGGTTAGTGCTGAGGTCTGCTTTATTTAGACGTGCACCTGAAATACCTACCATGGAGATCAATATTGCAAGGGCAAGAGTAGATAGAGGCTGAGAGCCAAGTGCAGCCCTCAATATGTACAATATCTATATGTGTGTGTGTGTTTCTGTATGTGTGAGTGTGTGTGTATGGAAGATGCAGGAAGGCCAGCATTTGAGAGTTTGTTTAAAATGATCAGCTGTTAGTTGTAGTAGAGTGGAGTGTAGTTTGTGTGGTATGAGGTGAGGAAGGTCAGGAAGGTGGGGATTTATGTATGTGTCCAATTGGTGTATCAGACATAGTCCAGGAAGACGTCAGCTGTGTTCTGCAGTAAAGGTTGGTTGGGGGCTGTTGTGCTGCAGACTGAGCTCAGTCTCCGTGACGGCGCCCTCTGCTGCTCTGGAGGACCTGAAGCATTACTCAGGGTCAGGTACACCTGAGGAGTAACACAGACTTGTGTTTTACGAAAGAAAGAAAGAAAAAAAAAGACATATAACATAATTTTTGTGCTTTGGAGACAAAATGTAGGGAAATGAGTGAAAAACAAAAAAAGACAGATTACAAACGTAAGACTAAGAGTGGTTCTTGCACTCACATTCTTGGTATTTTCTGACAGCAGCAGCTCGGTTTTCTCCACCAGCTTTTTGAAGGAAGGCCTTTTCAGAGGATCGTGGTTCCAGCAGGACAGCATCATGTCATACCTACACCGCAGGTCACACTGGCATTAGTTTATATGTCTGGGATACAGAGAAACAGCCAGCAGAACACAAAAACAATCTAGCTAATAATTATACATCTAAACTACAGGCTGACAGGCTCATAGCCTGTAACAGCTCATATTACATCAGCCACGTTGTATAAAATTACTTTAGTCATGGATATAAGGCAGCATTGAACAAATATTCAGGTGGTCTATAAAATATATAAAAATTATTATTATTGTTATTTATTTTTTAATTATTTTTTTTAGTCCCCAAACCATCCAAGAAGGAGGAAATTTAACATATTTGGCTTTTACACCTTAACTGCTGCTGATTTAGTTCAAGTACCCACTGATGGAAAACAACATAAATTAGATCCAAATAATTTATTTAA